TCCCACAGCATCTAGCGCAGGTGCTCCCAATCTGGCGCTGATACCTTCAAAGACAAAAGGGAAACAGTGAACTGCCCAACACCACACAGCAAAACACCCAACTATGCATGGCCGTCACAATATGCAAAGAGTCAATATTTACAGTGTTGACCTTTCTTCTTCATAACTTCTGCAATTCACTCATGCTGGATATCAGCTTCTGGTCCAAATCTTGACTGATGACAACCTATTCTTATCTTATTAGTCCTTGGAGTTGATCACAATTTGTGGACTTCTGCTTGTTCATATGCCCTTGTGGATCTCTATGGGATTAAGATTCGGGGAGTTGTCTGGTCACTGATCCAAAATTTCAATGTAATGATCTCAGAGTCACTTCATTATCACTCTTGCGTGACAAGAGTCTCAATTATGCTGGGAAATGCACAAATTATCTCTAAATTGGTCCTAGGTGGACATTTTGAAACCATTCTTTATTCTTGGCAGTGTTTTGGGCAGAATTAGACAGCCCACTCCCTTGGAAAAGCAACCCCACACATGAATGGTCTCAGGATTTTTCACTTTTGGCACGACACAGGATTAATGGCGTTCACCTTTTCTTCTCCGGGCAATTGATTTTCCAGATGTCCTAAACATTCCGAAGAGGGCTTCTGCTGTCCAATACTTGTACTTCCCTTCTTGACACCAGGCCATTGTCCAAAAGCCTTTCTTTTCTTTTCTTTTCTTTTCTTTTTTCTTTTTTTTTGGCCAATTAAACTTTTTGCAATTATTTAAAATGCATCTGATCACTCTGCACAATAATCTAGAAACAATGTAAATCAACATCACAACAACTGAAGCAGCAAACTTTGTGAAACACACAATTCCACACAGAATTACAAGTGAATCCCAAGACAGTATAATTAGAATCCAATTTCAGATTGCCAGATTCATCAGCCAATCAAATTGCTTTATTTATTTGTACCAAGTGGGTATGGACTTTCAGATACGTGCGGATCCTGAGTTACACAATCATGTAAGTGACATACTTAATTAGACGGCGAGGGCTCATTTTCACTTAAAATAATCAAAGCTTTTCTTTTTTTGTTTTTTAGTTTTTTAATTTGTTGGTTGAGTAATGCGTTTACTGAAGTTTAAGCAAGGTTGGAATTGGGCCGGTTCACGCAGGTTTTGCATTCCTTTCTTTTTACACTTTGACAGTGGCGCCGCCTCTTGCTGCAACTTCAACGCAAGCGCTGCGTTTTAAAGTCTCCATGAAATAAAAAAGTTTTTGGCTTTTAGTACAAATATGTTAGCCTTCTGTTATCTAAGTTAGTGTGCTCCAAAGAAAAAGACAAAATTCTCAATTAGAAGATTAAGCAACATACAGTCTCTCACTTCTGCCAATATAGATCAATGATTTTGATGACATCACTCGGCACTTCAGCTTCTCATCAGATTTTCTGTCCTATCAAATACTCTCTAGAATCTAAGCGACCCGCCCCCTACATTATAATGCTGAAGCTGCGGCTAAAATCAGTCATTTGCTCACACATTTACTATTTTCGACATGGTGAATGACACAGTGCACTATATAGGGGATAGGGAATGATTCAGGGAATGATAAATATGCTTTCCATTGGATCGACTGAAGTCTGGTTTCACATTAGTGTCTGGTCCGGTCCATACAGTCTGTTCCGGTCCAGAGACACAATAGCACAGAGCGATCATATGCGTGAGTTGGCGCATACCAGAAAACGTATTGGATACATTTAAATTATTCTGCACAGAATGCTATATTTTAAAGCGATTATGAGGAGAAACGGTTAGAGATTCTGGGGAAACTGCTGCTTTACCAAGCTCAACGGAAACGCTATTGGCTATTTTAAAGCTGTTCGACATGTCCCATCCTGTCTTCCTGTTTCTGTAGAAATTCCCTCAACACATTGAATAATGCTGCACGTTTCAAGGCACTTCAGTGGCCCTTTAAGAGTTAAAAGTTTGAACTGAACTGTCTCTGTATTCATGCTAAAAATACTTTCCATCTGTGTTTTCTTCATGAAATATTGGTGAATAGTTGCTTGGATTTGCAATGCATTGATGTCCTCATGTATAGAAGAAACAAGCACATCCTTTTATGCGAGTACAGGACAGTTTGAGACATTAAAAATTCATAACTTTACCATCTGCAGACTGCAGTATGTACTGAACTACACCTTGTTCAAGATGTTGTTTTATTCATGCTGCTTTAACCTGTTGATGCGAGGCAATATTGATTTGTGATGGTTCCTATGTAAATATAGGTCATTCACAGTACAGTGCAATAATAGGCAACACATCTTTCAGTTCTAACACTGCATTCGATAAGTATAGGCTACAAAACAGTTACTCAGCAAGTAGAAAAGAGCTACTCTAAACCAAAGCCGTCTCGCAGTGCATGCGATAAGGCTAGTGCTTATCACAGCTGAGAATATAGAGAAGAGACCTGACTGAAAATGGTCTGTATTTCCAAACTCACAGGAAAATTATCTTTCAGTTCTCTCTTCATTCTTCAGCCCTTGTGATGGCAGGCTTTTGTTCTATTCCCATACAGTTAAACAGCAGTCTTCATCCTAAAGTATAATCACAGAGCTTGTAATGGCTACCTGGGACTGGAAGTAAAAGTATGTAAAGTGTGTTTAAACTGTCAAGAAGTGAGTGAACTTAAATAAAAGAGCCGAGGCCCGAGGGAGTGAAGTTAAGGTGGGAGAGAGAATGGGCCGTCCCTCATAAATAAAAGGCTTTCTATTTGTGAGACATTTGTCCAATAGCAAATGTGTGAGGAGTAAAAAAAAAACGTTTCACAAATAATCACAGATGTATGTATTTAAGCGATCCACAGCAACTTAAAGGGATAGTTAATGCAAAAATGAAAATGTTTGTTATGTTCCATAGAACACGAAAAGAAAAATGTATTGAATGTACTGAATTTCTCCTTTTGTGATTTACAGATTTTAAAAAAAGTCATACAGGTTTGGAATGACAGGAAGGTAAGGGTGAATTAGCCCTTTAAATCACTTTTTTAATGTTGTAGATTTATCATTATATAAAGTGTTTAGTCACATGGTCCCCAAGATGGAGTAACTTGTCTTATATTCCTCATTCATGTGTGAAATAACAATTAAGATCCATAAATGACTGAAATTAAATTTATGCTTATGAAAATGTGCTCATTCACTTGTGGCAATAGTTATAAAGCTAATTGCGGTATTAACAAAGTAATATTACAAGAGTGTTAGCCTGAGGGAAAATACATTCATCCTTTTTATCATGACGCTTTGGGATTTTGATAAGATGTGCAATCATCAACAGAGTTTGAGAGAGCGTAGAATTTTATTAATTTTTTGCAGGCACTGTTTTATTACTCACAGTGTTCAGAGCTTCAAAAACATAATGAACATGCAAATAGCACGAAGATTAGCACTTACAGAAGACACGACAACAACACCTAGATTGAGCGGAGAGCAGAGCGCACAGAGATGAACGGTGGGAGCCATAGTCACGTTCAGACACATGCACACGCTCACACAGATGCATGAAGGTCACTGAATTGTATTATTAAAGGTCTGAAACAGATTGTGTTTAATAGACAATCTTGTCATAATCTATTTATATACACAAATATAAATAGATTTTCTGTCTGTATATTTGTATTTGTACTATCATCTGGCTGTTGCTCTTGTTGCATTAGTCTGAAACTGTGAGACTGTCATTAAGAAAGACAATTTACAGAATATATTAAGCTACAGGGTACAACACAGTACATAACAGATGTTCAAAAAGGTAGACAACAGAGCCGTCTGTGATCAAGATAACATCTAGCAAAAGACAAACCACATGGGAGCATTAATAAATAAAACAAGCAAAAGCACCGAAAGCACAACTTTTGAGAGTCGGGTCAAGACACGGCACTTTTGCTCACGCGCTCTGTTCATCTGTTTCTCAAATCGAATAGGACTCTGAGATCAGATTAAACCTAATTTAAGACAAATCCATATGGCTGTTTTAGACTATTACCAATAGAGAAGGCATCCATGGTTTGTGTTATGAAGACTGTATACGTTTTCAAATGCTTTCGTTTTGGTACTCTGTGTGATGGGTCTGTCTAAAGCTCTTCTGCTGAAGAAAGTCCATCAGACCGGTTTCCAAATATGGGTTGATTAGCCGTAGGAGCTCAGATGAGTCATGCAATTACGCTCATAGAAATATAGCCATTCGCAAGGAGATGTCTTCAATGCGCAAGAGAGTGATGAACTCTAATTTGTACTAAAGGACACTGAACATTTGTGCATTGTAAAGGCTGCTCTGTTCCTTTTGTTCGATATATAAAAATACACATGAACCCTAGGAAATCTTGAGCACATTGGCATTTCTTTGCGCCATCTAGACACAAAGAGACAGCTTGTTAGTTTAAGACAAGAACATTTCACAGTATTATTAGGCAAATTCCAGGTAAATGGCTTCTGGGTTATTCTTGAGCAAAATAAAAATTCTATTCACGTAACCTTCAGATATCTATGCTTTGGTTTGATTAGTACTCAGCAGAATGCAGGTAATTCACACAGAAATGTTGCTACTTTAAGTTAAAAACAGAGATATTAACACATGTAAATATTAGTTTTCTGACAAGTAGCTAGCTATAAATTAGTATCCGAAGCACCTAATATATCATATCTACTTTTCATTGCAAATAATAATATTATGCTTCAGCCAGAGAGTTAATAACCTGAAGTTAACATAGTTGCATTAGTGATGCTAATACTGCAGTTCAAAAAAGCTGCAGATATTTTGGCGGATATTCAAGAGATCATTTTAAACTAGGCAATGTACATGAGATCTGTTTGATATGGCCTGTGTAGCTGGTGAAACTCTTAACATTTCCTTCTCAAAAACTGATATCGCTGATTATATTCAGTTGGCATCAGTGCAGAATCACTGTCCTTCTAAGATTCAGATCCTGCAATAAATCACATCTCATGTACAACTAAAGACACATTAAGTATTAATACATCCAACTCAAGCCTCACATGTTCCCTTTTCTCAAAGATTTATGCCGCCAGCTTTAGCAGATGGAGATTTACAGATGATTTGCAAATATTACTAGAACTGAGTCCCTCTCCAACTTGCCCAGCATCTCTAAAGATACAGATATCCAATCCAGTAGACAAGATTGAAGAGGCCAAAGGCGGTTGGGAAGAATATTCGGGAGTAGGAGTCAATTTTGGAGACATGGACATGCATTCTGTTCTCACGCCAAGCTCCGGAGCGACAATCATCAAAGCAGCAGAAGAAACTGGCGCAGTCTTTCCCGTCCAGACATTCATACGCATAATCATCATCGTCGAGGTAGGGAGCAATATTGTTCATCTGCAGCAGAGATGTCCCTGGTCTGATGTCAACCGGTTTCTACACGGGAACAGCAAGGTCACAAAAGCTTCATTGCTAAAACAGTGTGCAGTACAAAAGCAAATGCCATAGCGGCTGCACAGAACACTCAATAAACTGCAAACAAAAGTATGTGAACTATTCTAAGGTCTGACCTGTGAAAAAGTTAGTCAGCTTCTTAGTACTATAATTGCATTACATATCATACACATCAGCTAGGTGCTTAATGACTTGTTCTGTGTTCTAAGTAACATAGTTTAATATTTTGTCATTTGATCATCCTTGTGTGACTTTATATTTATTTTATTTTTAATATAATGAAAGTAAAAATAACCAAACGTGGTGAATTCAAATGATAGATTTGTGTGAGGAACAGACCAGATTTATGTCATAATTCACAGAAAATTCCTTAGCTTGTTCATGTGAGAAGTAGCAGTGAACCATTCTTGTGAATCGTATCTTTGTAATGACTTGGTTCATCCATTTCACACAAGTGGTTTATGTGATTCACTGATTTAATGATCGTTTCAGTTCATCACACAAAATGTAGCATATGGCTTCACAAGCTTTATCAAGTTTTATGGACAACTTTTATGGAGATCCTTCATTCTTAAAAATAAAGGTTCTTTCCTGGCATCTGTGGTTCCATGAAGAACCTTAAACATCCATAGAACCTTTTCATTGCGCAAAAGTTTCTTTATAGTGGAAGATTATTCAAATGTTCTTCACACAAAGAAAAAAACTGTTCACTGAAAGGTTCTTTATGGAACCAAAATTGATTCCTCATTGCGAAAAGCCCCTTTTGGAACCTTTATTTGTAAGAGTGTTTTAGAAGCTTAAAAGCTCATATTCCCATTAGTTGTAATAGAAAACAGCCATCAGCACATTATTCAGAAATTCAATTCTTTTTGTTTTCCTCAGAAATTAATGCATATTTTGAATGACATGACCTGGCCCTTTAAAAACAAATGAAGTTCATTCACCTGTGCATGGCTTGATTTGGTCTTCTTTTTCGGTCGATTGCTTGTGAAATAATGTAGAGTCCCATATTCCATAAGAGCAGCAAAGGTGAAGATGAAGCAGACAGACACAAATAGATCCATGGCTGTCACGTACGACACCTTCGGCAGGGACTTCCTCGAGATGGTGCTTAGGGTTGTCATGGTAAGCACAGTTGTGATACCTATGCCAATCATGATGCACAGTAATTGAGCACCCCATTGAAGCATTTCCTTTTCATTTTAACATACATTTGTATTCATTCTGAGGCTTTTTGAAATTACCTAAAGATGTTCTGGCAGGTACAGCATCCTTGTTAATCCAGAAAGAGACCCAGGACAAAACCACAATCATACTGCAGGGGATGTAGGTCTGGATGGTGAAGTAGCCCATTCTCCGGCTCAGGTCAAAGAAAATAGTCATAACCACGTATTCTCCTGTTAATAATAATAACAACCGCTCGTGTTTTAATAATAAGAATGGTTAATATTATCATGAATTCACATAATATAAAACATACTATGTACTTACTGTAGTAATGACACTGACTAACTGGGTAATAACTAGGTACTAACCCTGAACCTACCCCTAAACCTTAACTTAAAACATGTAATTACCTTACATTACTCAGTACTTTTGTGGGTAAGTACACTGTAAGTACATTGAAAGTGCACGTACTGTAAAATAAAGTGCAACCAAATTCGTTTAATCTTTCCAAATATACTATTATTACCTAATAACAATACGATCAATAATAACTGCTTGTGTATTGGTCTTGTTATTACTATTGATTACTGTAAATCTACTGTTATTAATGATAATAAATATTTTTTTTAATATGTGCTCATTTATTGATGTTATTATCATTAACATTTACTTCAGATCTACTATTATTATTAATCGTATTATTTATTCTGTATGTTCATACCAGACTGAGTGTTTGCAACATCAGAAGTGTTCCGTAGGCCCACAAAGGCAAATTGGTAAAGCCTCCAGAAGCGCTGGTCTGCAACTTCAACTGAACGACGCTGCCATCTATACTGGATCTCATTCTTTGGATACCCATCTGCAAATGAAAAAAAAGCACATCCACCAGATTGCATGTGACCTTTCATTTCAGTATGCAAATGACAAATTTACAATGATAGCAGAATGGCATTGAGTAGCACTCAGTGATTGTAAAGCGCGGCATGCCCTTCCCATGCCCACAGTGGATGATGACAAATGAGAAGCTGAAGCATGGTGCTAATAAAGGAATGAGGAGTGACGTAGACAGAGAAGAGGAGAGAGGGGTTGGAGAGAGGTCTGGAGAAGGATGGATTCTGTCCTCACTCATTCCAAGGTTGGAGGATGGTAGCTGCTACAGGCCAGCTGTAATGTTAAGGTTTGTTTGGCCGATATTGGCAATGCATGGTTGGTTGACAGAGGCAATGTGTGGGGATTGGCTGCCTGGCGGCACTCAGGACAGGACTGAGGCTGAGTGACAAATTGACATAAGAATTTAACACCTACAGCTTGAAAACTCCAGAGGGCACGAATGTTCATCCATGGGAAAGTTATGCAGCTTAAGGTAGCATTCCGCATTAATAGTCAACCTAACAAAAAAGAATAATAGACAATAGCAAAACAAACAAAAAATGTTGATTGTGACATTTTTGAGGCTTTGATATTTGTACTCTATGACATCAGAGATCAAACCCTCTTTCTGATTTAACAGTCCCTGACATAAATATGTGAATCAGATGTAATGGCTTAAACGTGCTGCAACAGACAGCGGGTGTAATTCCATACAAAAGCAAATGTTACAGGAACAGAAATACGAGGACACAAACAGCATTCACTCGGCTCACAATGTTAACCGTAGACATACCTTAGAGTATACATTACTCTTCCATTGTTCCAGAGCCGAAGAAGGCGATTCGGTGTCGTGATCCAGTGGGCGTCAGATTTACGTGAGTTGCGGAAAAACGTGTCCGGGATCCAGATTTTTCCCACCATGTTGCTGTTGAGCATGAGGACTTTCATTGAGCTGTTAAATTTGAGTCTGCTGTCGTACCACGTCTGAGCAAAGAAGATGTCGATGGTGTACTCCTAAAAAAGTAAAAAGCCTTACAGTTGCTTTTGTAACTGTGAAATTATGTGTCTATTGCTTGTGACTGAGTATGATGGTTGTGAAAATGGATCTAAACAGTTTGTTTACAGCTCTGAACATAATGTAGTATTATATATTTCTGTGCTCACCATATTGATGGGATCTACCGGGCCTATGCTGTTCACGTACACTGCCGCCTCAATCACAGTCGGTCTCACTAGAATACAATTTCAAATACAAATATATTCAAATTACACAATCATAACTTTCAAATGAACATAAAAAGATAAAAATACGTTACAATATCAAAAAAACAGTGTAATAATGCATTTATTTTAAATAATTTATTGAAAAATATTTATAATATACAGCATGAATTCAGCATGCTTGCTGTTCCTCTTTTTCCTTTCTCTTTCTGCATCACTTAGTGTGGACTATCGAATAATGTTAACCAATAGCCAAAAAGCTATTTTTAGCAAACTCGCATTTAGTCTGGCTCTGTCCTAACATGTAACCATCCAAATCTATTCCCAATCAGTGGATAAAATCACATTTTCTCACTGAATATTCTGCTTCACTCAGAAATACGCCACCTTCCAGAAGTGAAATGGGCAGCAACAAACGCAATTCACATTTCCAATAACAGCCACACAAATTACTCAAAGCTGCCTGAATCTTCTTAATACGTGCGGGTTTCTGTCGCAGGGAATCCAGTCAAAGAGACATGACAAATAACACAAACACTGCTAGTTCACCTGCAATCATTCAGCACTTGCTCTGCACTGATTAACTGAGTTCTTCTCATACTTACACTCTCTCTCTCTCTCTATCTCAGACACATGAAACACAGATAAAGAAGGAAGATCAATAGTGATTTGGGTCTATTGTACCCAAACACCACTGAGATAAACCCTCTTAAATAATTGAGCTTTAGTCAGCTGCGTCGCTTCCAGAACACTGACGTACTGAGAATAAAGTGATTTGTACAGCTCTGGTGTAGAGAAAAACATCAGCATAATCCTAAAGCCAAACTACTCTTCATTTCATACTGCAAAAATGCTGATGGTCTCTTAAAAATGATGATTACATAATTCTACTCAGAGGGTTTAATTGTCACAGAGTGTTCCTCTTCATTAGGATTTATAATAACGATGCCATTATCTTATAATTATTAACATTTTGCAGTTACCCTTTAAGCTGTAACAGTGTGTTTGAGGGTCATAAACAGGCCTAGACAGAATCTTCAGGAATTTTGCCAATTTTTGGGCATAGATTCTGTGTGGGCCTGGATAAGCATGCAACCTTTTCCAAACAATGACTTGCCTCCGATATCTGGTCTCAGTTTGTTGTCATAACCTTGCAATAATTTGTTTAGGATAAGGGTGACGTCGCTCTCGTAGACTTTTGGTGATAAAACCCATGTTTTATTGATGGGGACATCCTCATAATCTTCCTCCTCTGCTTTGCTTGGGCCAAATGCCATGCTGAAACAAACAGAGGGAATATAAGTAGACAGACAGCTGAGAGGTAAATAATAGAGCAATATTCCATTTAAAATAGAGAAGAGTTAAAAGAGCAGTCAGTTTAAATTAGGAGCTTAAAATCTAAAGAGCGAGAGACTGATTTAAAGAGCTAAATATGACAGGCAGAGTGAGAAAGAGAGAATTTGATGAGTTTTATGGGAAGAACATATAAAAGAAGTCATCAGTGACTGTAAATGTATGAGAGCGCGAGAGTTTTTTAAATGAGCACAGTGCTGGAGATACAAAGAGGAGGTTCTAATAAAAGAATGGCGTGATTAATGAAGATGTGTTCTGGCACTGGAGGGAGGAAACAGCTGAAGGTGAGGGGTTTAAATTATCACCCAACTCTCTCTCACTCGCTCTCTTGCAGTATATGGTGTGTAAGAGCTTCTAAATGTATTCTCTGGTGCATTATCTGTAGGAACACAACAGACATATCGGGTATCATTTCTAACTGAGATGTGCACCAATCCCGTGGACGTGAATTGTCTAGACTGGGTCTCCTCTGATGTCACAACTTCATCAATATGTTTCAGCCACCTGGGTATTTGAAAAACATTCAAAACAAGATTCGGTCCCACTTTATATTAGGTGTATTTAACTACAATGTATATAGTTACGTAAAAAATTAAGGTGTTAGTCAGTGTTCTTGCGTTCATGTTGTATTGCAAAACTCTTTTGCCGCTATTAAGGTGGTATACAGGTACGGTAAGGGACAGGTTTTGTGTTATGGTTAGGTTTAGTTAATGGGTAAGGGAAGGGTCAAAAGTGTATAGATGTAATTAGAAAGATCAATTACAGCTGTAATTGCTGCAGGCATTTTTAATTAATTAATAAGTACGATGCAAAATCATATCAAAATGATTAATTTAAATGTTAGTGCATACTGTACTATAAGTTAAAGGCACTTAATATAAAGCCTGTCTCAAGTTTCAAATGTCTTCATGCCTGTTATTCTGTAAAAGAAAATAGTTTAAACAGTAGATTTAGTGTGCTTGTTCAGTTGTGTGTAGTGTACTGTCATTCATCTAGATGTACTAAAATTGATTAAAATGTGTTCACATCTGATCTGAATGGTCTAAATATGTTTACTCAAAAAGTACCCAGACAAACCAGTGAATGTGATTTATATATTTGAGTTTTGTTTATAGAAAAAAATTTACATTCCCATACACAGACAGAAAAATCAATATGAAGAATCCCTGTGGATGAGACCCGTGGGTGTAGAGAATGTAGGTTATTGATCCCTGTAGGAAGAGCGCTGAGTAGTTAATGGAAAATACAGACAGAATGTTTTCCTCAAATGCAGAGTTTCATATTGTCTGGACACAATAGTAGCCTCTGAATGACCTTTGTGAGCCTCTGAGACATGCTCTAAAAACCCTGACAAATGTGCAGTTAAGACAAAGGCCTAAATAAAACAAAACAAAAAGCATTTTCTGCCATAGATGAAACACTTTGGTTATTGTTAGTCACTTTTTAAGATGAGTAAATGAGAGGAATGTAATCTTACAAACCAAGTATTTATTCTATTAAGCATTTGCACATTTTCATATCTTTGAATACCTTAAATGAGCTGCCAAAAATCAGCTGAAGGAAACCAAAGTAGTTGGTGTAATTGTGGACTACAATTTATGCATAACATTTAGCTACATTTACAATGGAGAAATTGTGACATAACCTTCCAATCTGACTACATGATGATGCAAAACCTAATAGTGTGTGAGCAATGTAGTTTGGGGTGTTGTTTGTTGAATTGCAGCTGAATATCCTCAAGGTTGTTTGTAGACTGACATTGCTCGTCCTCGCTAAAAAGACATCAACACGAATGCTCTAAGCAAAACTGTCACTTACAATCAATATTAATAGTATCAAATGTGTTCAGAGTAGGCTACAAAAACTGCACGTGTCGTGATTGACAGTTATTTGCAGAAATGTTTCAAGGTGGATGTGCTACAAGGAAAACGTAAAACTAAATCGTTCTGCAGCAGAATCACGCCTAAGTGTTGTCGGTCAAGGGCTATTTTTGTAGTCATACTGATTGCACCCCTTGTTTCTTTTGCCCCCTCTGAACCAAAAACTTACCAGACTCCAAGCAGACCGGGCAACAGCCAAACCAGTGCTTCTTTTCTCTGGCGGCGATGCAGCAGAACCATCGTGCGAACGCTCGGTTTATAACCAAACAATCTCCGAAATGAATTAGAGCGATCAAAGCTTTGAGAGATTCAAGCGATTAGTAAAACGATAATTGAGAGGCAACGTATGCTGTCAGCTGTTGTCTAGTCAACAGCATAGAGCTGGAGCCTGGTCTCACTGTCAGGCAAGCAGCAGACGCGGTGTGGATGTGAATGGTGAATGCGGGATTTCGCTGATTGCGGCACCGCTGCGTTCCTCCATCGTTCTGCTGAGCGATACGCTCTCAGTGTTCCGGGAATTATTAGAAACTGCCTCTAGGAAAAGAGCTGACTGCTCTACCTCAGAGAATTCACATCAAGCGGTGATTTATGAGACCTTTACTTAGTTTTGCTGTTGTTGGGGATTAATAAAGTGGCAAATGCTACAATTTCAGGGGCTGCACCAAGATGTGCAAAGTGACCATCTTAACCCTAGAATGAATAAATGGGGTAAAACTTACATGGAAGCCTGTAATGTAATGTGTGTGCGTGTGTGTTCAGTGAGCTTTTTAAAGGAATTTCTGTCAGTAATTTCGTGTCAATTTCCTGTAGAATCTTTTGGCTCCCATAATTAGTCAACTCATCTTAAAGACGGTAAACAAACCACTAGTTTGTTGTTGTATAGGCTACTACTATTTTTAATCACTTAATAATGTACGATAAAGTGATTAAAATAGCAATAGTAGCCTAGCCTATGCTTTGTCAATGTAGGCTTTATCTCATTCTCAACTGGAAGAGCTCGAGCAACGTACTGTTGCTATGGTTACCTCAGACAAACGCGACATCTCTTTACGAGCATAATGGCGTTTTATCCAGTTGAATGATAAAAAAACATTGACAACCAATCAAAATCCATCCTGCTGTAACAAGTTTGAGCATTTAAAGTGACAGACAAACACGCGCTTAGAATAAACAGAATATTGCTTCTTTAATTCTTTATCGTTCGGTTAACTTCTTTATCGTTCTTGGTGTGAACGGGCCTTTATAGACTAATTGGAGAGAAGGGGTCAGAATTTGGATTGTTAGAATAATATTTTGTATTATTGGGAAAAATATTTCCATTCTCTTACATGTTTTATTGTTAGGCTATTTTTTTTTTTATTCTTATGAAACAAAGGAATTAATTTGGCCTCATTCAGACAAACTGTCAAATTCTGGACCAAGCTGACTGACTGACTGAATGTAAAAATGCAGAAAGGTTTCTTTTAGGGTGTGGGTTAGTGTGAGGTTTTTATACCAAGCTGTATAAAAACAATAGAAATGTATTTCCCCATTTAGGTAGCTCCTTGTTCTGGAAGGTATTCATCTCCTGATATACTACGGTATATAGGCACGGGCTGGCTGTTCATTCATTATTGTCAACACCGAGCTCCACAAAGAAGAGCAGAAAGAGACACAGATTGCCTGAACCTCATCCTCATAATAATTCCCTCTTCTCATTTCCATCACAACATATTCTGAACCTAATAATTACAAATGCCATTCAAAATGTTTGAAATGTCAGACCTTCAGATTTTCAGAAAGTCACATGACTTTGGTTTCAACAGTTCATAGTAAAAATCTATATAATGATGTGTTCAAATAAATTATTTTGTAGGTTTATTATTTCAGTTTATATTTGATCCTACATTTCTCACAAAACGTGCTGGAATGCTCTGTTTCAGCCCCTCTTCATGGCTACTTTATATTCAGATGTGCTCTGATGCTCTGAATGGAAGAAATCTGTATTATTATGTCAGCCATTAACATTCTGAGAGAAAATTATGTGGATCTGAGACGTGCCTGAGATTTTCTCTGCTGGACTACACACACACACACACACACACACACACACACACACAATAACCGCAGGCTAGCTTAATATAACAGTGAAATAATAATTTATTATCTATGTATATTACAGTTTTAAATAAACTTTACTTTCCAATCCACTTGATTAATCCCTTAATATTTGTAGTGGTATAAAGTTTTGATATAGGTTTTAAACCGGTAAATCCAAAAGCCCTCTTCTGCTGAATTAGCATGGCCACACTACTACTAAAATCTGTTTTATACCTTTAACACAATAGACACAATTGACCTTTAAAACTCTTCCCAGCTTTGCAATGGCATTGAATAATGTCAGAGTTTTTGAAGATCCAAGAAGCACATCCATCCATCATAAAAGTAATCTATATGACTCAGTGGGTTACTAAATGCCTTCTAAAGTGAAGCGATGGGTTTACAGAAAGATATAAATATTAGGGCTGTGTATCACCAACAATGTCACGATACGATACGTATCACGATACTAAAGCCACGATACGATCACGATATGGATCAATTTGGAATTTAAATTTCTTTTGAGCTGAGTTTAGTAACAGTAATATCTGCTTATTGAATAACCAGTGTTATAACAGTTGTGAAAACTGAAAAACAATGAGTTAAATGAATAAAAAAGCTTAGAATGGCTCTTCCTTCTGCTTTTAAAGTCTGCCTCAATAACTGAAATGACAATTATAGTGACACTGAAGCATGTCTACACTGCTCAATGACTAAACAAAACTTAAAACATTAATAAAAGCAAAAACGGTAACAACTTAAATTTAACTTAGTTTTCTCAAACTCTTTTAAACACCTAGTATTTAACAGGTCTTAAGTGTTGGAATGTGCACCAAAGTCATTTCTTCTACGTTGAAATCATTTTAAATGATTACATTTTCAAATTTTAATGCAGAAACAACAATTGATTGACATGCTCAGGGTTAAGAGAGTGACAGCAGAATATCTCGCTTAACTTCATCATACAACCGGGGAATTGCCGTTTCTGTTAAAAACCTTTATGCTTATTTAAGACATAACCAACTGTGTTTAGAGGATACTTACCAAGAACGAAATTTTTTCCATCATTTTGCGTGTTTTAGTCTGTTAAAGCGATATAATCTCGCGAGCTGTATGTGAGGCGGCTTTACTCTAGTCTATGTATGCACGCAGAGAAAACCAACTCTCAGAGAGCGCGCAAGTAGGCCTACTGAATAGTTTAAAATCGTTTGAATGTTTAAACTGGTAAGACTTAAAGACATGCAAATGGTCAACTTTAGTCACGATGGCCCGATTATGCAAGTGAATATTCCGTCATGTCCCGACTCCTAACCGTGAGCGTGTAGTTTCACCGGCTGCAGCGCTGGACGCTTGCCCGAGCGAGAGAGAGAGACGCAGCACTGCATTGAACTCACGCTGTTTGTGAAATTGCGTCTCACAGAAAGTTTTAAAATGACTGATTTGATTTTATAATCTGTGTGGATTCATTTACTAATACTACAACCTACATGCTAAAGTGAATCAATGTTTCCGGGAATTTCCCGCATTATAAACTGCGGGAATTATTCAAATTATGCGCACTCCCGCGCCGAAATTGGAGCCCTGAATTGGCTACATTCAAAAGCACAAAAGTATCGATACGGCAGCTGCTGTATCGATACGCGTATCGCCAGGAGTTCATGACGATATATCGTTGTATCGATATTCTGAGCACAGCCCTAATAAATATATTTAAAACTTTATAAACCATGATCACTGGCTTCCAGCAACGGCTATTTTAAATTATGGGAGAGTTTTTGGGTGAACTATTCTTTTAACACTGGTGGTAAATAGAAATGAATCAAAGTTCGTCAATAGCTTTTCAACTACTGTGGTAAACATTACAGTTTTTTACAATTGTTATAGGACCCATTTCTCAATGCTTAAGTCACTCTTTCAAAACTCTTCACACACAGAGCACAACAGCAGTCAGTGTGGGCTAAACTGTAGATTGTTTATCATTGCTTTGACACAAAATGCATTCAACCACTACATCCATCAAATGACATGAATTCATTTCTCACTCTGACGCAAACACCACCTAAACTATGTACAGGCAATTTGCACACGCATACTCTTTTCAAAACGGCTAAACTTAATTTCAAAACCTAGCATAATCAAAACTGGAAAAGACATATTGAAATATATTCCAAATCTAAAAAATGTTAAACTATCAAACAATTAGACGTAGCTAAACAGGTGTTAGGATTTCATTTTCATCTATACAAAAGGGGAAAACATAGGAATAATTGTGTACTGTAATGTGACTAACATATCCTGCAGTGAATTCTAAACAGTAGAGAGTGAGTGTCATTCTTGTTTTGTAAAGAATTTTTACAAAAGAAATTGTGTAATGCTACCTGTTGTTGGTGTTTTTAGGTGATTGTTTTATGAGTGACAACCTTTGCTAGTGTTATGGAAGAATGGCTTAATTTGAGACACTATATGAAGCAGGGACGTGCACAGGGGGGTTGCTCAGGTTGCCCGGGCAACTGCCCATATGCCCTTCTCACTCAAGTTGCCCTTCTCACTCAAGTTGCCCTTCCGAGAAAAAAATTAAAAAGTACAATGGATGCAGAATTTCACGTAGGCCTAGATTTAAAAAAAAAATCGCAAAGCCTCATTCACTTACATTCGGGCACCGAAAGTGAAAGTCAGTATGAAGGGCAAACGCTGCACGCGACCATAGACTGCACGCGACCGGCGTAGGGCCACGCAAATTAAGGCCACGCCTCCATCTCGTGTCATAGTCATAGCGCGCCGTCAAATGTGTAGCTCTACAACATCCACGACAAAATGAAGCGAAACTATCCTTCTGGTCACGAAAAGAGGAAGAAGAAAAAAACCATGTGAGTGAATTGCGGGAACAACAATCAGGTAAACTTGTGTTCTCTCCTCTCTAAGTTTGATGTCTTTCGGTCTTGCTAACCTAGCTAGGCAGGCAGTGCATCTCTTGCATCACTTTGTGGCTGACAAAAGTGAGAGTAAAATACAAGTATTTATTACGTTTGATTTTGATAAACGACAAAGTGCAACTGTGTTTGTTTACTGCAGCTCGGAAAACATAACCGCGTCGCGTGTGTTATCGTGCGTTCATATGCGCGTTGCCGAAATGAAACTCGCATTTTTCAAGCAGAAATATGTGGAGACCAGACATACTGTACAATACATGATGCACGTGAATGATGGCACTCCCAATCAAAGTACACACTATAAAACAAGACACTGATTATCTAGTCTCAGTGTAGTTAAAAACTCTAAACAACTGCACTAATTATGCAAGATAGAAAGCAATCTATTGACAATTTGACATTGATTGACTATTGATTTATAGGCTATATTGAATTTAAAATGTTGATTAGCTGGACATACTGGTCAAAATGGATGCACATCCCTCAGTAAATAATAACCATAAATCAAGAATTGCTTCAACATGCATAATAAAAAATTAAAAAAGCATACTGATGCCGAAAATGCCCAGGCTGTAGAAAGAAC